CTCCTCAGTATGTTTGTTTCACTGTTTGCATCTCCGTATCTGGTGTCGCTTCTCCGGAATAATCTCTCATTATCATCATAGATGCCTTGAGAGCTGATTTCAATTTTGTAGGGTTTTTTGTTTTGTTTTGTTTTTTACAGTAGGAGTGCACAGGTATTTAGAAGTACTTTAAGTTTATGATTTTGGCTGCCCTAGAAAGAAATCCATTGTAAGAGTGACCTACACTGTGTCCCCCACAACAGAACTGGGCACTGGGGACACACTAATGGACAGAAAGAAAAGCACTTCCTGTCCTCACAGAGCTCACACACTGGGCCATTTCTGGCCAAGAGGCTTGGCCATACTCATACCTGTCATAGAAAAAGGTCACATTCCTTTCATGACCCTAAATCACGATCTCCTTTCTGGTGGATGGACCACGCTCAGTCACTGAGATTGTCCACAGGTTATGCCTGAGTCTTCTGACTTCCTTGTCTTCAGAGAAAATCTCAGTCCCAGGCAGAAAGAATGCCAAGCTCAGAGTCCTGTTGTCATCACACATAACCCGTCCAGACTTTTCAATTCCTGCCTCCCCCCGCCAGACCTGGCATGAGCCCTAGAATATTCCCATGTCAGTAGAGGGTCCATGTTGCAGTAGAGAGAGCCCAGTTTTAGAGTTAGAGAGAACTGGTCTGAATCCAGGTTCCAGAACTTCAGAGCAACGTGGCCTTCAGCAAGTATCCTAATTTCTGCAAGCCTCCGTTTCCCTCCTCGGTAACATGGAGACAGTAATCGTCATGTGGCAGGCTGGCCCTGAGAATCAGGGGGCACACAGCAGGTGCTCAAGTCTTGTTTGTGTTCCCAGGAATACCAGTGGAGGGTTTCTGAGCATCGATCCTACCGCCCCGGCCTGGGAGGGCACACTCACACCAGCGAATGGAAGTGACGAGGACCATCTTCCAAGTAACAACGTGGAAATCCTGATCGTGACTTTGCTGACCTTCACCTTTGCCCTGGGCGGGCTGGTGGGAAACGTGACCGTGCTCTGGCTGCTGGGCTGCCGCATGCAGAGGAACGCTTTCTCCGTCTACATCCTCAACCTGGCAGGAGCTGACTTCCTCTTCCTCTCCTCCCAGGTTGTATATGCCCTGGAGGCGCTCATCAACTTCCATTCGGTGTACTTTTCCATCCCCAGATTTTTCACCACCATGTGGACCTTCGCCTACATCGCGAGCGCGAGCATTCTCAGCGCCATCAGCACCGAGCGCTGCCTGTCGGTCCTTTGTCCCATCTGGTACCGCTGCCACCGCCCAAGACACACGTCAACTGTGACGTGTGGCCTGCTCTGGGCCCTCTCCCTGCTGCTGAGCATCCTGGAAGGGGAGTACTGTGGCTTCCTGTTTAGGGATTTTGACCCTGGATTGTGTCTGGCGTTTGATTTCGTCACGGCCGCCTGGCTGATTTTCTTATTTGTGCTTCTCTCTGGGTCCAGCCTGGCCCTGCTGACCAGACTGCTGTGGGGCTCCCAGCGGATGCAGCTGACCAGGCTGTATGTGACTGTGGGGCTCACAGTGTTGGCCTTCCTCTTCTGCGGCCTGCCCTACGGCATTCACTGGTTTCTGGTATTCTGGATTCAGCAGGGTTTTGATGAGTCCCTCTGGTATCTTTATCTGGCTGCGCTCACCCTGTCCTGTGTCAACAGCTGTGCCAACCCCATCATTTACTTCTTTGTTGGCTCCTTCAGGCAGCGGTGGCCCCGGCAGCGGAAGACCCTCAGGATGGTTCTCCAGAGGGCCCTGCAGGACGCATCGGGAGGGGATGAAAGCGAAGTCCGCCTGCCTCAGGAAACTCTGCGATGTCGGGAAACAGTCTGGCGCCCTGATTCGGCATCTGCCTCAGTCACAGAAATGTGGCTTTGAGAACCAACTCTGTCCCTATCGGTTGGAGAGGTTTTCTTCACTTCTCTCGGCCTTGGGGCCCCTGACCTTCAAACCCTAAAGTTGTAAGATAAGCCTTACGGTTAAGATAATATCCTCCCTCGTGAGGACTGCGGCGGTACCTGTGAAACAAACACTGACTGTCGCGCCTCAGGGACTGCCTTCCCCAGGGCCTTCGCTCCACCCCAACTCTACCAACTCCGGGGTGCCCTTTAGGAGAACCCCACCTTCAGCACAGGCTGAAAGCAGCGCAGGACGGTCTAAATTCGTTTGTGCGCTGCACTTGGGAGGGACTGGAAGAACATTCCATTCTGTGGTCACCCTCCTGCATCCTGTCTCCATAAATTTGAAAGAATTAAAGAGCAGGCTAGCCTCGGAGAGCAGTCTTCTTTGATTTTGGTAGGGCCTAGAATATGTCCCTACCTTAATGTTTCTTGAATCCAAGACTTAACGAACGAATAAATGACGATTTTTTAAACCAAGCCTGTGCTAAACACCCGTTTCCCAGAATTGAGTCACCATCCGTGAGTTTTTCCTTCGCCATTTTCAGTCTGTGCGAGCAAAGTTAAGTTTTATAACTGGATAAATCGACGTTGAAGCATGCTTAAGGTTTGAGGCAGGTCGTCTTGCTATGATTTCCTGTCCCAAGCCCTCCTGCGGAACCTCATAGGGGTCCCTTCTCACTCCTGCTGCACCCCCACCCAAGTGCTCTCGCCCTGGTTCTCCCTCCCGGGAGCTCTCCGGTCCTTCGTGGCAAAACGTCTAGAACACTAGACTCTTCTCTAGTCCTCAGAGAACAGGATCTTTGTCAGATTTAGTTCTTATTCCGCAGAGCTCCCAACGTTAATTGTATAAATCTGATTACAAATACCTCTAAAGTTACACGTTCTATAAAAACAATATATTAAGTTCAAATGTTGCATCTTTTAATAATTTTTTACTTTTTTAATTGAGGTGCAATCAGGGGAGAGTGATTGCACAGATCACAAGTGCACAGTTCAGTGAGCTTTGGCAATGGTATACCCACGTGACTCGATCCCCAAGCGAAACATAACACATTTTCATCACCTCTGAAAGTTCCCTCATGTCCCTGTTACATACTCCTCCTGCCCCAGAGGCAATCTTTATTCCTATTTCTTTTTTTGTTTTTTGTTTTTTGTTTTTTTATTCCTATTTCTGTCACCAAAGATTAGTTTTACCTGATCTTCGGCTTCACATACTTAGGATCATTCAATGTACTCTTCTGTTCCTATCTTGTATCACTCAGCGTAATATTTTTAGGATGTACCCAGGCCACGGCAATTGCATATATCAGCAGTCTTTTTGCTAAACCTGAGCGCTATCTCATCGTGTGAGTGCACCGGTTTATTTTCATACGGATAGATATCTATGTAGTATTCTATCACTGGCTATTTTGAATAAAGCTACCGTGAACATTCTTATTCACATCTCTTTCTGAATATATGTTTTTATTTCCCTCGGATAAGTAACCTGAAGTGAATTTGCTGGGTCACAGAAAGATGTCTGCTTGACTCTGAAGAAATGCCAAGCTCCTTTCTCAAGTGGTTATGCTATTGCACATTCCCACCAGCGATGTCTGAAAGTGCCAGTTTTTCCAGATCCTTCTTCACAAACACTGCCAGTCTTTTGAATTTTAGTCATTCTAATGAGTATAAAGTGGTATCTCGTGGTGTTTTAATTTGCATTTCCAAAGTGACTTGTGAAATTGGCATCTTTTCCTGTGCTTGTTGGCTACTTGTATTTTTTTTTGAAGTGCCTAAGTTTTGCCCGTTTTTATTAAGTGTTTCCCTTTCTCTGTTATTTATTTGTAGGAGTTTGTATACATGCTGCATGAGTCTTTCCTTAGGTGCGTTATAAATATTCATCCTGTTGGTGGTTTGCCTATTGATTTTTATTTTTAAAATTTTTTTAATGTTTATTTATTTTTGAAAGACGGAGACAGAAAGAGAGGGAGAGTGTGAGCGGGGGAGGACCAGAGAGAGAGGGAGACACAGAATCTGAAGCAGGCTCCAGGCTCTGAGCTCTGAGCTGTCAGCACAGAGCCCAAAGCAGGGCCCAAACCCACGAACTGTGAGAACATGACCTGAGCCGAAGTTGGACGCTTAACCAACTGAGCCACCCAGGCGCCCCTCGCCTATTTATTTTTAAATAGTTTTGTACTGTAGAGCGCTTTTAGATTTATGGGAAATTTTCACAGGAAGTACAGAGGGTTCCTGTCTACTCTCTCTCCCCATCCCCATTCCTCCCGCCCACAGGTTCTCCTATTACTAATGTCTTCCATTAATGTGGTACATTTTTTAAAATTGATGCACTAATATTGATACATTATTATAAACTGAAGTCCATAGTTTACTTTAGGGTTCCCTCTGTGTGGTATATATAGCTCAATGGATTTGACAAATGCAGATTATCACACATCTATCATAATAGTATCATATAGAGCAGTGTGTCTGCCCCAGAAATGAATACGTAGGTGTAGGGTCTGTTGTTGTTTCTTTTTTGACTTTTATTTGCATGTATTTTATGCAGAATTTACTCCCAGGCCATAAGTTTTAGTTTCTCCGGTTTCTTCTGTGATATCTTTTTCTTCTGTGCAACTTCCTCTTCTGGTTTAGGACCACTCTGCTCTTTTTCTGTAAGGATCATCTCAATGTGGCAGGGAGAGCTCACGTGTGGGTTAATCTGACCGTGAGCCCTGTAAGTTCTGTGCCGCATCTTGGGGGCCTTGTTCACCCGGATGTGCTCCATGACCAGAGAATCTACATGTAAACCCTTAAGTTCAGCCTTACTCTCTGCATTTTTAAGCACGTGCAGTAAAAATGCAGCACTCTTTTTGGGCCACCGACCCTGTGCCCAGCCCCACTGTTTGGCCTGGACACACCTACCAACTCCACCATTGTAGCGTTGTAACATTGCTTCTGCAAAGTGACGTCTTTCAGAGACGTGGTGACTTTTCGGATATGCCTACCCTTGAAGGCCTGGGCAGTTTCACGTGTGTTCTTAAAGTGAACATGAAGGCTTGAACCTCTTGATTGGCATGATTTTGTGGGGGTTCCCGGGTCAGGTGAAGAGCGAACAATTTTCAGATATCATCTCAGGCCACTTATGGGAAGAGCTATTATTACTATTATTATTTATCCTGGTTTGGGTTCTCTGTGCTACCTGGATCTGTGGTTTGGTGCCCGCAAATAATCTGGAAAGCTCTTCGCCATTATTACTGCATATATATCTTCTGTTCCTTTCTCTCTTCTTTTGATATTCCTATTCTATGTATTTTTTACCTCTTGTAATCATCCTACAGCTCTTGACCTTTCTGTTCCCTTTTTTTTTCAGTCTTTCTCTTTGATTTTCAGTTTAGGACGTTCCTATTAACTTATCTAGAGGCTCACTGGTTCTTTCTGGAGTTTTATTTATTTACCTATTTATTTGTTTCAAGGGTAGAGTTTAGTGATTCATCACTTACGTATAACACCCAGTGCTCATCCCGACAAATGCTCTCCTTAATGCCCATCACCCATTTTCTCTACCCCACCCCCATCTCTGTCAACCCTCAGTGTGTTCTCTGTATTTAAGAGTCTCTTATGGCTTGCCTCCCTCTCTGTTTTTATCTTATTTTTCCTTCCCGTCCCTTATGTTCATCTGTTTTGTTTCTTAAATTCCACATATGAGAGAGATCATATGATATTTATCTTTCTCTGAGTGACTTATTTCGCTTAGCATAATACACTCTAGTTCCATCCATATTGTGAGGCCCACGGATTCTTTGAAAAGCTATAGCTAGTCCAGTCAAAGGCATTCTTCACTTATGTTATAACGTTTTTATTTTTAGCATTTCCTCCTCCTTATAGTCTTCATCTGCACTTGCTTTTTGTCCACTCTGTCCGCTAGATTCCTTAACCTATTAATCACAGCTATTTTAAATTCCCAGCCTTCTAATTCCAAATCGTCAGCCATATCCTGAATTCTTTACATCTTATATAAGGAATCGGTTGATCCTATTGTTAATACTGACAGGTTATAAGACAGAAGTAATACTTTACAAATCAAATCTATAACTGGGACACCTGGGTGGCTCAGTGGGTTAAGTGTCTGACTTGGGCTCAGGTTGTGATCTCGCAGTTCGTGAGTTCAAGCCCCATATCTGCTCTATGCAAACAGCTCAGAGCCTGGAGCCTGCTTCGGATTCTGTGTCTCCCTCTCTCTCTGCCCCCCATCCTGGCTCATTCTCTCCCTCCCTCTCTCAAAAATAAATAAACGTTAGAATCTAAAAACACAAAAACAAAAACAAACCCCAGATCAAATCTATGACTGAAAAGAGTCTAGAAACAAAACTGAAACAAGTTATTGCTTCTGAAGGAGAGGGCTCGGGAAGACTTACTATTCACTTGGTCCACTTCTATGTCAATTGGAAAGAAAATGTAAACCTGCGTGCATTACTCCTAGGACAATGAAAGAGCGTGGGGCAGGCCATGGAGGGCCTTGAATGACAAGTAAGGAGGGTGTCTTTATTCTTAGCTATAAAGCCTCCCAGCGCAGGCTCACATTGCTTGGCATGGCTCCCTACCCACACAGCTGGCAGCCAGAGGCTACAGAACACCACTCCTCTGCAGGCATGGGCAGCAGACAGGGTGGGGACAAGCAGAGGTTGAGAGAGAGGGGAGTAGACTCCACTGAAATGGCGAGAAACATCTCGTGAGGGGTCACGACTCAGAGAACCCCACACTCTCACACGCCAGCAGATCCCCGCACAGGAGGTCACAGGGGCCGTCCAGCATCTCGATAAGCCTTGCTCCCGCACCAGGCTTCACCACCGCCACCGCTGCCGCCAGCAGCTCCCCAGGGCAAAGAAGCGTCCTGTGGCGACAGTCAATCACAGGACAGTACAGGGCAGCTTGTCACCTCCAGCCAAAAGAATGGAGGAAAG